TTCCTTTTTCATTCACTGTGCCTTAAAATGTCAAACAGAACCTGACTGGTCGTTAATGCTCTCCGTGGCCGAGCGGTTTAAATCACAATCGGTCAAACGGTTGTTTCTCTTACAAAGTTCAAATACTGCCTAATCACATTTTCTTTATTAAGTTTTCTCGAATGTACAGGCCGGTAGACGCAATGCATATTTCTGTCTCTATTTCTGAGATGAGGTATTGTAACTATTTACATAGGTCGAACTGTTGTTTTATATCTTTTCTGTCATATTCGTGACGTTTCGGCCATTGTACGCCCCGGCCTTCTTCAGCATTTGTCTATATTTCTGAGATGAGGTATTTTAACTATTTACACTATTTACATTGGTCGAACTGTTGTTCTATATCTATATTTTCATATTCCCGACGTTTCGGCCATTGTACGACCTGGCCTTCTTCAGCACCTGTCTATATTTCTGAGATGAGGTATTGTAAGTATTTACACTATTTACATTGGTCGAACTGTTGTTCTCATCTTTAGTGTCTTATTCGCGACGTTTCGGCTGTTGAACGACCCAGCCTTCATGAGGTGATATTTATTGGAATTTTGAGACAAATCGTTTATTTACTCTAAGTGTGTGTGTGGCGGGGGTAGACTGTTCTAATTCCACGTGCCTTGGTTTTGGATGGCTCAGTTTTAATTAACAACCGCCTTGATAACTCAACTCTCCGAGATGTGTTTTATTTGCTCTGGTTAGGGATTAAAATGACAAATCTTTGGGTCAAGTCACTTTTGGATCAATCAACCAACGCCTTTTTCCACTGGATATTCTCTCCTTGGCATAGCGCGACACTTGAAATAAGAAAAATCTACCCCGGAGCGTACAACAGCTGAGATGGCAATAAAGATAAGAACAGCAGTTCCAACAATGTAAATATTAATTCACAGTGTTAAAAATATGTTTCCTATATATATATATATATATATATATATATATATATATATATATATAGTAAAGATAAAAAATCGGTTGGTATATAATCCAAGTGGATCCTAGTAATATAAAATATTAAAGCTGATCCACAAAATGTGCTCAATGCAGATATTATTCTTTCCTTTTTATGTGCCATGTCCTCTCAGGACGTAGGTGATCATGGCTCTCCACCTCTCTCTATCCCTTGCAGTTCTCAACAAGTTCCTTCCCTTTGCTTCCTCCCCCAGACCACGTTTTATCACCTACTGGCTTAAGCCCGCCAGGTACGTCACATGTTATTTTCCTTCGTCTCCCATTCCCTCTATTCGACCCGTGAGTATCAGATTCTCCAGGCTCTCTTTCCTCAATATGTATCCCACAAACTTCAGCTCCCCATTCCTGATGTTAAGTATAAGCCTCCTCCTTGTTTGCATCCTCGCTAAGACCTCATCGTTGCTCACGTGCTCGTACCATGATACCTTTAGCATCCTTCTGTAGAACTATATCTACGTCACCTCGAGTCTCGTCTTCATCTTTGAGGAATTCGTTTAATATTCGGTGCCGTAAAGGAGGACAGATGTCACGTAACAACTCAGTATTCTTTTCTTTGTTACCATAGAAATCCTCCTATCTCGCAATATTCTGTCCAGCTAAAGAAATGCCTCCGTGGCCATCTCAATATGTCTACGGATCTCAGTGTCGCACTTGTCGTCCTCTGTCAAAACGCTTCACAGATATTTAAACTTACACGTGTGCTTGATTCTCGTGTTCCGACCTGCAAATCGCATTTTTGGCACATCCTTTTACTGATGACCATACATTTTGTCTTCTTGAAGTTTATGCTTAGACCCTTCTTCTTACTCTCTCTCTCTCACTACCGTCTGTAGGAGATTTTTAAATTACAGATCAAATAATTATTATACAGGCAGATAAAATAAGGCAGACGAATTATATTTTCGTCTGTCGAAGTAAGCTTATTCCCCATATGAAGCGATTTTGGATCTTTTATGTATTATATATATATATATATATATATATATATATATATATATATATATATATATATATATATCGGCTGCAACAATTCGATCAAGCAACTTTGATTACATTCAAAGGGTCTTATTGTTCGAGTACTCCCGACAAGCTTCAGTCATTATCAGGAATATTAATATTTTCAATGACAGCGAAAAGCTTTTCAAAGGTTTTTAAAGAGTTTCATCCTGAAATTTTCAGGAACGCGATATTTCAAATTGAAAGAATTTTGTAGACCATTTTCGAAGAGACTGACAGCATAATAGGACAATTATATTATGAAATACTTTCTACCTGTTTCATATATATTTGTGATACTGTCTACCTGTTTCATATATATTTGTGATTTTAAAAATATTTTAAAAACACTGTCTACCTGTTTCATATATATTTGTGATTTTAAAAATATCGTACCATGTAAAAATATTTCATACCGTTCCTTCTTTTGTACAATAAAATTTTCAAGGATTTTGAGCCTACCTTTTGATGAGTGTTCTATATGACAGTTAATATTTGT